CCTGATGAGTAATAAAATTGAATCATGTATACGTGGGCCACATGCTTTATATTGCTAGCACACAAAAATATGGCTAATAAAAAGGGAAACAAAGGTCTCTAAGATTAATTTACTGTAATCCTGCCTAAAATAATTTCAAGTGACATGGCTATTGAAAATTCCCTCTTGTTTATATATTTCTAGGTAAATTTATTATTGGTTTTGAAAATTTCCAATTAAATTTACTTGTGGGCTTGATAATCTCCTTTATAATTTTAACATAGGTTTTTGTATTCTGTTATATTTGCTTGTTTTGGACCCAGATATCCATGTTGGAGAAATTGTTTTTGTTCTGAATGTTTTTCAAGAAAGTTAATTATTGGTGTACATATTGACCTAGGGAAGTTTATTGTTACATTTTGCAGTCTTCTATTAAAATTAATATATTGTTGTTTTTATAGAACATCTGTATAAACATGTTTATTTTTAGTCATATTAGTGTATTGTTGGTCTTGATGTCCTCCTACGTAAGTTTATTGTTACATTTTGCAGTCTTCTATTAAAATTAATATATTGTTGTTTTTATAGAACATCTGTATAAACATGTTTATTTTTAGTCATATTAGTGTATTGTTGGTCTTGATGTCCTCCTACGTAAGTTTATTGTTAACCTAGGATCTTTCTAGAGTAAATAAATTTTTTTATGTTTCCTTATCTTTTTTAAATGAACTTATTGGACACCCTTATAGACAATTTTATTACTGATTTTTGCATCATCTCTTGCTTAAATTTATTCTTGATATTGAAATTCGCTTAACCCCTTTGCTACTTGTTTAGAAACCCAGATAAATTACAGGGGTTTTGTGTGCACTAATATAATAAGTTGATAATTATTTTGTTTTTGTATTCTAAAATGTATATTTGAAACTTACAAAAATTAATATCTATTCACCCTCTGCTGAGAAGAATAATCGAGGCTTAGCACATGCGATGCATGAGCACAAACTCCCATAACACTATAAGTACTTGAAATCTTCATTTTTCAAAGTATTTTATTTATTCTTTTATGTTTTAATAAAAAGAACTAAAATTTAAGCATTTGTGAATAAATAGTATTTATTGGTTGATGGATAAGTTTGCTGAAAGGGAAATACGATTTTATAACCATTGTACACAAATAATATATTTTTATGTCTATATGGTATACCACTAAATATCAAACATCCCAGACGGATGACCAATACTCAAACACTTGCGATGTTTATTGGATTGACTCTGAACCATATAAATGTTTTCACAGATTCAAAGTGCAATCTTATTACTCTAGAGATTGTAAAGATTGTTGGATACATAAGCAGATAAATTCCACATCATGTTCTTGGAGCAAGAGTCAGATTGGCTTCTTTCTTCGCATTTGCTTTGAATCTCTTGAGAGTATTGTAGTACAATGTCACTTAAACAGTTTAATGACACAAGTGATGATTTGTTGCTTTATTTTCAGCAGATTTCTACTTCAGTTTTCACAGTAAAATAAACACAGAAAATAAAACATGAAATGTTTAGCAGTTCAAACTCTGAAGAGAAGTACTCTGAAACTTTATTATCAATAATAAAAAAGGAGCACAGCTACTCATTTTATTTCTTATTTTACTACTTTTCATTATACTTGGATGATTTGTTTACTGGCTGGAGAATCAAATATATTTTTAGGGTAGTGGTAATAATGGATAAAATGTAAAGTTTAACTGAAAAAAATAATTTTATGTTTATTTAGGAGGTTTCACAAATTAAATTTGAGATTCATGAGAGAAAAAAATAGTATTTTTAATCTTAGTATAAAATTCACTTTGCACTCAGACTAGTCAAAGGAAAGATTCAATGTATTCACAGACAAATCTTTAGTACAAATGACATGGAATGTTTACTAAATGTCTGCCAAATTTTGTGAAGATACACGTACTGTATTAAAAGTTATAGTATGGAAACTGTATTGAGTGCAAAGTGGTTATGAGGTCAGTTAATTTGACTGACCCCATTATGAGAGAGTTAAATAAAATAATTTTTGGTTGTAATATCATTGATATGTGTTATGCATGAAAGAATTGTAAACATATATTCTTAGGAGTTAGATACCACATTTTATATAAATACATGAACTTTGTTTTTAAATGTTGAATTTCACTCATGTTTTTCATAAAAAAGATTAATTTTATTCTTCCTGCAATAAATTAATTTTGGTACTTAATGTACTCAAGATTCAGCAGGCATTGTATACTAACTATTCAAAGCTAGGATGTCCAAAATCCTAAGTTGTTGTATTGTTAAATATAATTTATGTCTATATTGATTTACATTTTTGTCAACCATTATATTTGTAATATAATTAACAGTTTTGCATGTTTTTCCTTTAAATATTTTATATATAAAGAACTGTTTAATTTAATATGAAATAAAATGTCATTGCATAAACAATTTTACTGAAGCTTATTTTGTGTTCATAAAACTAGAGCACACTTGTATACACATTAATGATTGTAATACTTGTATAATGGAGAAATGGTTTCTGTTTAACGTACAAATCACATCTTCTAGAATTATGTGAAAAGACAAACTACAAAGGAATGATTGCAGATCATATGCAGCCTGTTTTGTTCCAGTCGGTTATTCATGCTCTCTTAGAAAATAATTCCTTATCAAGTTTGAAAAATGTTAATTGGAGGTCAGTACACTATTAAACTTTTTCTTTCTTAGTTTTTGCTTAATTATGCATGTAAAAAAATGTCATTTTAACCCATCTGACTTTCTATAGAGCCTCAAGAATATTAGGTCTTTAGTAATGCGTTCAAACAAAAAATGAACAGTATTACAAAAGTGTAAAATTTGTTTTTATTTTTTGCACTTTTGGGACAAAAAAAATGTTCTGTGACTTATTTTATTATGAAAGAAGTACATTTTAATGGTCCATATTTAATGAGTGTAAAAAGTTGGTAAAATCTATGTTAAATTTGGTTAACTATATAAATAATATTGAATGATTTCAAGAAAGTCTAGTTCACTCCTGATTAAAACCAATAAATCAAAGAAAAAATCCTATCAGTGATACAATCATTTTTGAAAAATAGTATCTTTAATTTTGTGAGTTTATGTAAAACTATCGTTATTATTACAAAATTTATCTTCTTTTTGTTGTATAAAAGAACTTTTATTCATTTAAAGTTGATATGAGATTAAGATTTCAGCTGTTAATGAAGTCATAGTTATGGGTGATTTTAATTTCAGGCGTATAGATTGGCAAATGAGAGAGTAAAATCATGAGGGAGAAAGGTTTTGGAAACTGTTCAAGATGGCTTTTTTTACTAATTAATCAAGGAACATACTAGAAACAATGCTATTTTAGATTTATTGTTAACTTCAAATATAGATATGATCGAGAGGGTGGAAATTTGGGGTACATCTGGGTGCAAGTGATCATTGCTCTAACAGGGTCAATGTTTTGCTGCATATGGAGATAAGGAATAATGATATTTTGGTTATAAGTTTGAAAAACTCAAATTTTGATGGGATACAACAAGAATTACCTGTTGTGAATTGGGCAGCTGAGTTATTTGAAAACTGATCAGATGTAGAAAATTTTTAAAGATAAATTTTTAATTACTAAAGATAAACATATTTCATATAGAAAAAAAAGGGTAGCTGCAAGTAAAAACCAGGTTGGCTCACAAAGAGTATAAAAGATAAAAAGTAAAGAAAAGCATAATAAATTTAAAAATTTACATTTACTGGTATGATGGGAGACTTGGAAGATTAAGAAAGTTGGTGAAACAGTAAATTAGGACATCAAAAAGGATGT